AAATCGACGAATCTCGGCAATTGATTCGTAACTTCACTGTCATCAGCACCAACACGCGGCCTCCACCCCACCTTCCCGCCTCTACTCCACTTCGGGCTTACCTCTTTCAGCACCGCACATACCCCACAAGTGTCCACTACCGCCCTCGCTGCCTCTGCTGCCGCCGCTACTTGGGCACGGTACAAAGGGAAACACTTTATTATTTCACTCAATGCGTCGAACTATGACTCGTCTTGGGCTCCGAGAGATCAGTTCCGTCCTCCGCCTTGTCCTCCTTCTCCTCCTTGTCACCGTCCCCCATCCCGCAGAATCGAATGCTGTGGTAAATGTCTGCCCAATTATTTCATTTTCATGTTTATTTGATAACAAGATTTAATTTTCTAGTTATTTTTATTCGTAATGATCATTCCAACGTTGCGCTCAATTTATTTTCAACTTTAATGGCTAGTAGCCATGACAAGTGGTCTCGAAAAATCGGTGCTCTGACATCAGTACCCCATTAGAAGCACCCCCGGAAAGCTGTTTGATTTGTTTCCCTTTGGCAATCAGGGTAAGCAACTCATCGGCTCTGCATGCCTCCCTTTTGAGATCTCGAAGCACAATTAATGTCTAAAATGGAGTGATAAAGGGACTTCTATCCACAGAAAGTCTTTTTGGGGCAACAGTCCTATCTTATGTGTTGAGGGTTGCTGTTTAATCCTCCGACTGAGGGTACTGAAGTCATTAGACCTTCTTAATCCCTCCGATAATCGGTGCCTGTGCTTGGCATTCGCTCATATTGGGTTACAGAAGTCACCTAATAAGTTAGGTCAACTGATCCAAAATAGAGCCATGCCCAAGAGTCAGAAATTAGGTTGGGCGACTTTTAATGCTAGAGTCTCACTTTATTTGTTTACCTGGTCGTATCCATCACCCGCATGTGTCCCTTCTTCCTGGGGAATTGGTCGTATCTGATCCCTATTTGGGATTTCTCAAATGTCCATATTCTAGTCTTAAAAATGAGACAGCGGACAGATGTAAACATTTGCCATCATTGGCTTTTTACTTGATACTTAATGAAATAAGTGAAACTCCTCTAAATCAAAGAATTATCCTGTTGAAATCAACTTGCGGCTATCCACAGTAGAGGGAAAAGGCACTTGTGAGGATACCACCTTTCTGTAAATATAGTTTCCTTCAATTTTAAGCCCAAATTACAAAAAACGTTTTGAAATCTTTTGTTCACTTATATACTGGAATAATTTATTTGCAACGTCCACTACCGGTGTCACACATCTGTGACGCACGGTTTTTATCGTTTGGTGATAGTCGTGGGTGCGCTAAAGGCGCCGTAGGCAAATTGGTGGTGTTTGAAATCGACGCTGGCTACTTGTTAGTTTGTGAGTCAAAGAAATTGGTGACAGTTGATTTCGTGTCCATAGCTGTGATGCTCCACTTTTCTCCAAGACCGCGGCAGCAAGCAAGTTGAGCGATAGATTCGGCCTTAGGTCACTGAAAATCCCTTTATTCGGACATACAAAGAGTAGGGAAGAATTACTTTTTGTAACCCGCCTCAATTCCATTCCAACCAACGTCCAGACGTGTATCGGCGCTCCAGCAGTGCCTGGTTTCCTTTTTCCTGTTCGCCTCTAAAAACATCACATCCGTCTTCTTCACTTGTTAGCATCGCTCACTTCACCTTACCCTACACAAATTTGGCTCCTTAGTAAAGAAGTGACAAAGTAGGCGAAGGTGAAATAGAAGAAGAGGCAGTCTGCCACTATGATTAATGGCCTGAGGTATTTTTGAAGTGCCCCCCACAGCCTCCCTGATGGTGATGACTCAAACCATGGGCGGCCCTTACCCTCTCCCGATCGATGATGACAGGATGTCACCTCATGACACTCGAGAGCTCTATTTCATTAAAAATCCCCTCGAATTGGGCCATAGCCGCTGCAAACTGCCGGTCTAGTGTGTCGACTAAGACGTTCCGACTAGTTGCTGAGGCATAGAGAGGGCTGTCTGAAACTGGGCTACTAGTGGCGATTTTCTTTAGTGTGAAAATTTCATTCCACCCATTTAACTGAAACGGCGTGCATCGTCATCAGGGCATAGGACATCCCATGAGTAAGCTTAGAGGGGAGACCAAAACTAAAAGGAAAGCTAGGTGGATTTCATTGCTCCTCAGTCGTAAAAAAAAGTCGGCTTTTCCGCTTAGGTGAGGCCTGTCACTTTAATAAGGGGCAAATGGGACATTTACAAAGAGGTTTATTGTATTTCAATCCCTGTTAAAGGCTCGGAACTTCTGATTCATGCATGTGGAGGACGGGGATATGGCTTAGTGACGATTCGAATTACATGTACCAAAGGCCATGACAATAATTTGTGTCTGAGCAGGACAGAGAGCAAGAGAGAGAGAGGAATGGCCAATGATTGCTTTCAGCCCCCCATTCACATCGGTGCCTCCGTTCTCCACCATCTGATTGACACTTGTCAATGGGGTGGACCTATCAGTAGCCTTACCTCGTCTCTCGGTCACTTGTGTAGGTGAATTTGGCTAGTGTGTATGTGTGTGTGTGTTTACATTATGACCCACAAATGTGTTCCCACAGGACGTATCTGTCCCTATTCCCGTCTAGCTTGTGCCTAGCTCTCCACAAACTGCACGCACGCACGCACAGGTGCGTTCTCACAGCCTCTAACTCCTCCTTCTGCTAGCGCTGACGCTGTGATGCACACTTCTGCCGTACGATGTTTCTTCTCCTGGTCTGGTCTTAATAGCTGCATAAAACTTCATCTGATAGGGCAGACTATTTGAAACTGTGGCTAAAAGCGCCTGGGTATCATCCTTAGAGCTGGGTTGAAGAGCGCCTCAGAGGCATTTCAGTTTCAGGGACGGCAGAATCACTTTCAATGAGTAAATGCTTACCAACAGATCTAAAATTCAGATTTATTGCAGTGAGAGCAATGTATGTGACGACGGCCATCCAGTAGTAGTCAAGGTACAGTTATCGATGGTCAGGGTCAAAGTACTCTACCCATCCGATTTTATTGAGGACCTAGGGCGAATGGAAGGATTTTCCTCTCTCGCCACCATCTCATAGCATGAGGTTTAATGAGCAGCTTGCAGAAAAGCTTCTTAATTCAAGTACCTTACGACCCTTCGAAAGAACGTCTAGCTGGGATTGGTCAGCTTCGAGAAACCGTTGCATTGAAATCTTCTGCCGTATTTTTCATCACAGACCTTGCGGATTATTTTCTAAAATCCAGACAAATTTTTATCATATTTGGAGTTTTTTAAATTAAAAGTAAATCAAGTTCGGAAGAGAATATATTCTGGTGCCACACTCCAGTTCCTAGGGCAAGAGCAAATAATGCCTCTCAAAGGTGAGCTTCATGGAAAACTTTTTCTGTTTTCAACACCACGGGCCAAGGTTCAGAAGTGCCCTTGGAACTTGAAATGTTCCATAGTTGAAATGTTTTATGCTTCCCTCGCCTGAAGGACGAAAGCCTTTAAAAGGAAACAATTATTTTATCGTCCGTAATTATTCTACAGCTGTGGAGGTAAAGAAGTTGTCAAACTAACTAAATAAAATATTTGGTTCAAATTTAGAATACACACGCCCTTTGGAGGCAGTTTAAATACACTGGGCTTTTATTTCTTAATTTAAAATTTTGGTGGGAAGTAACATTTCCCCGATGTCAAGTAACGTTCTACCCTAGGCCATTCCCAAACCCACCTCACAAGTAACAATTTTATCCGCTCCATTGATACCTCCTACTGGAGGCAAAAATGAACCTCAAAAAAAAAATAGTTTTGGTAAATAAAAACAACACTGGCAATTAAACCATTGGAAGCGTCTTCAACTTGACCTGTGGTGGGGTCTACTTGATGCCAATCAAAGGGGTCCCCTAATTCAGAAAAAAGGAGGTCCGAAAAGGGTCAAGGTGGTTGAACTGCATCCACATTAATTCTTAGATAAAGGAAGGTAATGATTAGTAATCTTCTAGCATATTTAGCAATTAAGAGGCCTTCTAGCTACCGTCCGACGAAAGAGTAGAGTACTCTCCTCCATGACCTGTCATGAAGTAATACCATCCCCTATTGGTTAGTTCGTCTTGCGGTGTGGCATCTTCGTGATCTTCAGTTTATCACCTCAGCGGCCAATGACATCTTTAAATGAAATACCTCTTTTGTCTTTAAAAAGGTAAACCCAAAAATAAATCAAACTAATCCTAAAAAAAAGTGGAATTCAAGAGAATTCTTCAACCACCTTCAACACGGACTCCACGGTCTCAGCTCTCACTCATCTGAAAGGTTTGTTATCATTTTTTTCTAGAAAAACGCCCAAATCCTTATCAGTCAAAGTAATTATTTTTTTGACAAATATATTCCTCTGTCACAAAACGTTGCCATAACTCGGGGGCATTGTGAACAAGACTCGGTAGGAATGTCTGAGAGACAGTAAACCTTCCCATCGCTCCTCGCCGCGTTGTGAGAGTGGCCTAGCCGTTTGCGATGCAACTGCGTTATTTACCACCTTCCGCTGTTTCCCCTTCCACCCCATGTTTCGCAACCTTACTTGGATGAAAGGGAGACAGTCTTTCCCTCATGCTGAAAATTGCTCAGACCGAATATCAAACTCTCACATTACATGGGGAGGAGGGGTGAAGGTGGAATTTATTGCATGTGGGCTTATTTATTCATGTGGCTTGCAATGACCTCGAAAGATATTGCCTCCAATTTATAGAGGACGTTGCGCTAAGTCCAAAATCACGGACGGACTGGATTTCTTTCTGTTTTAGTGGTAGACGTGCCTTGTTGCCTCGAATGGAGGCCCGCCCGACTCCTCCCCTTTCTTTTATACGAGGTTGGGGGTTAGACGAAGACAAGAATGCTAAATTTTCAAGTTTCTGTGGTCTAACGCATAAATCTGACCACAAACGCCCGAAGTGCGAAATGTAACAAAATATGGCAATGATTACACGCCCCACACATACGCACAAGACTGTGTGTGTGCATGCGGATTGACAAACCGAGGTTGGCTAAAAAGAGGCGTCCAGAGCGTGCTGTGTATCGAAAGTCTGCTGGGTGTTCGGTCCGCCTGACTAACGGCGACTACGCGACCCCCTTCTTTCTCTTTCAAGTTAGGGCTAATATGGCCACGCCTTGCTACTTGTAAATTGATGTGATTTGTGTCGCTCACGTCCACTGGCCATGACCGCCACCAGTAATGCCGACGCGACTAGTTCAGAAAGAGCAAGAATGACTGTGTTTTGGTGGTGGTTACAATTTTGTGACATTTCGCCTTTTAGAAAGGGTGTACTTTCGGGGGAAATGAGACATGAGTTATTAAGCGCAACGTGGGTAGGGTGGAGCAGAACCAGGGGACAACGGGCCAGCCACTTGCTCATGACTTTAACCAAGCATTTTTCTGGGGATTTTAAGCACTTTACAGAAGGTCTCATTTGCCCTTATCCATGACCGTTTGATACGCTTATTGCCAAGGTTGGAGGGCAAAATCATCTCCCATACGCACAACCGAGTTGGCTAATTCAGTAGGTGTCTCGAAACCAAAACCGTAACTGCTTCCAGACTAAGAACACCATGCATCAATTTTATGGCTTGAAGCTCACCCAGATTTTGTGTCATCACAGACTCCATAAACTGGTGTAGAGGCACACAGGGGTTATGCTTGTAGCGAACGTGGTAACCAGGTGTCATGGTGCACCGCTCCTAGGCGATCAAATATGCTAGAAGGAATTAATCGTGGGTCTTTAAGACTTGGGCCTTTCTTATTGACTCCCTTCATCCGCAAAGTTGTTGTTTCTAATAGCAGTTTTCCTCGGCGAATTTTCTTACTTTGCAAGTGCATTTCGAGTCTCAAATCCATTTGGAACGTAAGGAATAAGAATTCCTTTCCAAACTGGTAAAAGAGGCACGAGCTCATCTTTTTTAAGCACTAGGATTCTATTCAACACCTTGAAAGGTGGAAAATAGCGGAGTCAGTTTCCTTTGTTTGTCTACGCCTTCTATACATTCCCTTTTTAGTGAATTTTAGCCACTTTTAGACCCCAACATGTCGATTATATAATCACTTTAAGAAGCTACAAATAAATCAAGTGAATAATAGGAGAAAACAGATTTGAGGGATTTGAAGCATCATTTCTTAAAATCTTTGCCCTAGAGGTCATATAACATTCCCGCTTTTTAAGGAAATAATAGACCCCACCTTTGCTAGAAAATGAACGGGGAAAAGCATTCTAATTTGCAATTGCGCTTCGAGATTGTTTATAGCGTTAGGAATATTTTCGCGTCAATCGGATACGGAAGCATAAAACTTAGAGATACATCTTGATTATAAATCTGTCTTTTAGGACACTACTCATTCGCCGCTATTGCTAACTTTTAAATCAGAAAAACACCTTAGTTTTTCTTCAAAATATTCGGATATTCATTATACGGTCACAATGTAACTGTGCCATGAACTGACCTTAAAGCATCCAAAAAGCCGACCAATCAGAATACGGCATTTTCTACTTTGCAGAATCCAAAGATTCGCAACCTCTTTGAGTTCCATGTGGCAGATTTGAAGCTGCCTTCACAGGGTTCGATGAACCTCTCCTCTTGCTGCCTTCCGGGAACATGGATCCCTCCGGACCTCTGCTCTGCCCAGTGTCGCATCCTGCTCGAAGTTGATCTCCAACCCGCAGGCAAAATGCCCAATGCTACCACCGTCACCTCCACCACCACTTCAACCACTGCCAAGGCTTCAGTCTTCCGAACTGGTGTCGTTTTCACCAATGGAAAACTCTACAACTCCACCCTGGACTTTTGTATCAATCTATATGCGAAAATGGAGGCGAGTTGGGCTAATGACTCCCCATTATACTTTTGTTTTAGGTTAATTAAGCAAAGTATGTTGTAGTACTTCGTGGATGTTAAGAGCCGTACAATTCAGGTGGTCACTTTATTACTAATTCGTAGAAGAGATGGGTTGAATGCGAGCCATGTTCTTTGGCGAGGGTAAACCCCCACGCCTGTCCGCTTTGTGGAAAGATACTAGCTTGCCAACAAAATCCGGTTACTGAGGCACACATTAACTTAAAGAGCTCCTTATAGTCATGCCCTGAGGTTGTTCCTCCTTTTCGCCCCATTGCCGTTTAAATACCACCCAGTCGTCAGTTTGGGCTATTCTACCCTCTGCGGTATCTGGGAGGGTATCACCTAGTTATCCTTTTTAAATTCTGAAAAGATGTAGGTTAGGGCTTGTTCACTGTGAATCTTGTTCCATTTTTAATTGTGGTGTTAAGAAGAAGACCAAAGGCCGGCATAATTTTTATGACCTCTCTGTTGATATCCGCTGCGGATTCAGCCATCTTCTATCACCTTTCTATCCAGTAAGCAACTAATCTTCAAAGCATTAAGGATGCCTGTTAAGCTCTCTACAAAACATAATTAATGTTTTAAAGGTGTTACAAGACAAAATTGTGCTCTTAAACTTGTCACCTCAAGTGCCTTTAGCGTGTATTTTAACAATATAAATGTTAAAGGCGGCATTTTTAATGTATTAGCTAGGTGTGCTTTTGAGGTAACATTAAGCGGGAGGCAGTTTAGAGAATGCAAGCAAATATAAGACTCTTGGGGGTATGCTCGAAGCAAGAAAGCGAATTACTCATTAAGCTAACAAGAAACCTCAGTGCTTACTACTTGCAACTTATTAGCGTCCCCCAAAAGTAAAAAAGCAATAAAATTAAGGGGCCGAAAGTGGTTTACATGGCTGCAAGATTACAGAATCGATTGAATAAGATCGATGTGGGGCGCAATCTGGAACTCAAGGGTTCCATCTAATCGCCATATCAAATTTCTTCTCTGTGTGGTGGTAATTTAAACCCCGCCTACCCACTCGCGCCACTATTGCTCCCCAAGGTTTGGAATTTAAGGTGACATCTTTGTTTGTGGCCATTCTTCAGCCTACCTTGCCCAACGGGCTGCTGCTAGTTGAGGGCGGTAGTACGGAGGGAGGAATACCATACATGAAATGAAGGTGTGGGCTACTCAAATCAATCTGGTAGCCCAGATTTGTTGCATGGCCTGCTGGAATATCTAAGTTTTCTTACAGACTTTTGAAAATATACATTTTTGACAGAAAGAAGATACATCGAATTGGACCATTTCTTACTGAAAGAAGATTCGTTTTTATGTGGAAGAAAGTCTCACCAGAAACTGATCTTGATGGAAGAACTCCTGTCCTTATTGTCTGACAATGCGCTAAAAAAGGAAGGCGGTTCGTTAAGTTTTCTTAAAGTAGCAATCCCAAGGTGGCACAGAAGCCACCTTTGTATCAGCCACCAATCAGATCGGAGAGGCATGCCTACTTCTTTTGCTTTGCTCCCCAACTGACGGCTCAGATTTCGCCATTCTGCGAGACTCTTGATGATAAATGATTTGGAATTATCCATTTTTGGTATTCCTTATTGAATAAAATAGTTTTCTCTCGCAAAAAGCTATGGTAATTATAAATGATAGTCCTTTGCAAGTACTGTTAAACAAATACCTGATTTTAAGTAGTTTCCATCTATAATTACTCTGAACTAAAAAAGCCTTTTTCTAAAACTTGAGGATCGGGGTTGGGGGTACTTGTAAAGTGATTTTAAAAAACCTATGCCACTTTCTGGCTGACTGATATTGCTCAGCATTCATTAGTGGTATATTCATGCTAACAACGAATTTTGATGCTCTTTTAGGGCCCTCTTCAATTACACATATTGTTGTTTCATCTAAGCCCTGTTGAAGGTGAGCAACTGCCTTTCCGTTCCACAATCTCCTCCGTATTCAGTACACTCCTCTCACTTCCTCAACCCTCTACAGATGCAATACTTCTGACACGGTTACAACCGCTCCTCATCAAGGGACGTCCTCGAAACGTGTGGACTACGCAGACCCTGCAAAGCGCTGCAGAACCAAACCCCCATATTCGTCTTACCCTCTCCTACCGCTTCGCCTGTCCCCCTGATTATTATGGTGAGGCGTGCGAACGCTACTGTTCGCCTCGAGACTCCCTCCTGGGGCATTACAAGTGTGATCCAAAGGATGGACGAATTGTATGTCTGCCTGGATGGCGTGGCAGTCAGTGCAATGAAGGTGAGAAATGGTTCCGATGTGCCCGGATAACGTTATCTTGGATGTGTTTTTTTGTAACTCAATACGAATACCAACTGCCCTGTGATAGCCATCATCCCCGCTCGTGATGTAATGGAATGGTTTTAAAAGCAATAGTTGTTTCTTTTATCTCAAACTTTCTTAGTGAATGGAGGGAGTAGCCTGGAAGTATAATGGTGGCAAATCAAAATGGATTCCATGCTGAGCGAATCCGCACAGATGGCTTTAAGCCCATAAGACTTAATCCTTTTGGCTTTAAAATTTAGTGCCTTTTTACACATAACCATTGAGGAATGGCTGAGATCTGGATGTCAATTCAGAAGAAGCTTCCAGGCTTCTTTAGTGGTGCTCTTTGATTACAGTCCGTTGTACTCGCTCCAGTAACATCAGCTATCCTTGGAAACCGAAGTATATACCCCGTAGTTGTGGTTGGGATTGACCACCACATAGGCCCAACAATCTGTAGTCAAAGGAAACGTGTCTCACTTCAACTCCAACATTGACTCATGATTCGTAGATAGTCAACGCTCTGAAATAGAGCTACGACAATAAAGAGGAGCGTCGCTTGTGCTTTACAGGCGTGTCTGAACCAGATGCCTTTCTATCTCTCTGTCCTGTTCTATGTTGCGATGTGGAGTAGTGTGCCCTACTATAGTCTCCCAAAAAAAACATTACACCAACCTCTTTTCACTGTTTCATTTCAGCTCTCTGCAAAAACGGCTGTCTCCATGGCACCTGCGACTCGCCTGGAGTTTGCAAGTAGGCCATTACACTGTTTTCTTCTTCAAAATATGCTTCGATACTAATCGGGTTCTTTTATACAAATTTTGCATTGTTGATGTCCAGGTAATGCCATGACCTTGAGGTCTGACGTTTGGGATACAATAGGAACACTTTGGGAGGAGAGGATATGTCATCCTAGGACGACTTACTTCGCTCTTACCTCCATGGCGGGGCTCAAGGAATGACATATTTTTGAGGCTCTTTTAGATTCCTGGGTAAATTGATATCTTTAGACCTCGTTGGTGCAGTAATTAGGTCCATAAAATTCTGCCCTAACTTGTCAGAATTTCCATTCAATACATTGATACACTCAACTTTTCTACGCTGGTCAAAAGCTGACCCTTGCCTTTGGACTCATTGTATGCTAAAGTATCGGAGTCGGAAGTGGTCTTGAATGGCTGTGTCTATCATTCCAACAGAATGATTCATCACTTTTCCCTCGATCAGTTGGCAACAAATGTTCCACCAACTAGGCGAATGTTGAATAACTTTTGTGGTGGTGGATGGGAGTCACCATGGATGGGATGGTCATCAAGGGACGTACCCACCGAGTAAGATCCACTAGGGAGAGTTAATCGGGCATTATCTGGTCATTACTCTTTCCTTCAAATTTTGGAATTTCTCTTATTAACTTCTCCCGCTATTTAGATGTCGAGAAGGTTGGGAGGGCGAGGCCTGCAACCACTGCATCCCCTTTCCAGGCTGTGGTCATGGCACCTGCAAGTTCAACTGGACTCTTGGTCAGCACGAGCCCTTCACCTGTGAATGCCAACCCGGCTGGAGTGGCATGCTCTGTACAGTCGGTACGTCTTCTCTTTCTCTAGATGTTTGCATCCCATTTGATACAGAAAATGACACATTTTCCGTCTCTTTCCTCCTGTAGACACCCAGTTTTGCTCAAACCACCCTGACACCTGTCTAAACGATGGAGTTTGTCACAATACACCAACAGAGACTTCACCCGGTTACGCCTGTCAATGTCCACTGGGTTATGAGGGCTACCATTGTGAGACTTCAAACCAAGACTGTCGAGTCCATCGGTGCAGCGGCCATGGCATTTGTCAAGTTAGTTATGCAATTAATATTTTTGCATTTTATTGTGTAAAACAGCACAAAATTGGCTTGAATCTTCCACGCGTTCAAAAGACTCTAATTAGCCCTCCTCACAGGGTTTGAGTTCATTTGTCATCAATCTTAAGAACGAATGAATAGCTAAGCTTAGTGACGCCAGCTTTTGTAATTAGAAAGACAAGCAATAGAGCTGGAGTTCTTTGCAAAGCACAGAAGTGGTTACTAGCGACGCTTTGACCACATATGGATTACCATGCATGAAGAGGGGGTATCCAGACAACCCTACCAAAGCAGAACTTGCAGTGTCTGATAAGGGTAGTATCTGTCACGGTATGCCCAACGATGCCCTTATGAAAAGCAGACATCAAAGTATGGAAGAAAAAAAGTACTGATACAATGTCTTTACAACAAAAAATCAAAGTGAACAGGTAATAACTTCGACGGGTGTTAGTGTCAAATCGGGACTTATGGTGTTACAACTCATGCTACGTGGGGTAGGCGTGCTCCTTGCTACCACATACCATGGTCGAGTTCGCTTCACGCGTCGTTAATTCAGACGGTAGGCAACAATGAAAATGCTGGCGAGTGTGGAACAGTGTGTTGTGATCGAAAACGTAAAGGCCTCAGCCCAGGTGTCATCTACTTGCACCTCCAGAGGATTCTAAGGGTACAGTGGTGGGACAGTCAGCCGCTCAGACCTCATAAGACATTTGATTAGGTGGCACAAACTATTCAGAGACGATCTAAGATCGTAATTGGCGATTAGGCAGCGGTGACCCCTAGTTTATCATCTCATCATTAGTTATCATGCAAAACGTGTGGTCTGCTCATAGACGAATCTGCTTTGTATGTACCAGTGAAGTGCTAGGCTGAATATGTGCATACATTTCCCATTAAAACACCATGCGGAAAAAAAAATAAATATAAAGCAGCCATTTATTACAAACACCACAATCCCTGTCTGACTTCAACTTTCACCCAGCTTCAAAATGGTACCAATTACTATTACACTGGGCAGGCAGTATATGCTGTTATAAAATAGCACATTTAAACAAGTTTTTATTTGTTAAAGACGAATGGGAATTGCGCTTGCTTTGACGGATTCTACGGCTCAAATTGTCAGTTTGACCAGACCGAGTGTTGGCAAAATCCCTGTCAAGGCAATAACTCTGTTTGCATACCCGTTAAAAATACCTCGGAAAGCGACCTTCAATCAACCAAGGTGGCCATCAACTTCCGTTGTGAATGTCAGCCTGGACTGAGTGGCATGAACTGCGAACGGAAGATTCGTCGGTGTGATGCACGGCCCTGCCTACATGGTGAGTTTACTGCATAATTCTCAAGGAAGATTCCTCTGCATACATTTTACCGTGTCCGACTCATCTAATCCATAGGCCAGACGAAATGATTTGCCTGGCCGTCATTAACTGTAGCAGACCGGACCACACGACATCCACGTGTGCAATGCGGGTTCAGATAAGGGAAGCTGGGCCATGCAGAGATCCGACAGTGGTAGTGAATGCGTTCCTATCTTGTAACCTAGCTACAATGGCTAAAGAGAGAATGGCTGTCAAAGTGACAGTATCATCAAGTTTCATCAGTGTACAACCTCTTGAAGTTGGACACAACAAGATAAGGCAATTGGGAAATGAGTGGGTAGATGGGCAGATAGAAAAACAGGGAAGGGGCAATAACCAAAGAGCAAATACCACACTCACAGAAAGTAGCAGCAAGATCAAAGGTAGTCTATGTGGGGGCGGGTAGATGGTGGCCAAAATTCGCATGTGAGTGGTGTACTCTTATCAAGCCATCAAATATCGCCTGCGAGGTGACGTCTTGCCAAAAGAAAGTTCTACTTTATTGCCCTACTTTATCTCATGTAATGCAAATGGGTTCAGTGCTTGAAGCATTGCGTACTCTCAATGATTCCTTGCTATACTGGGACAATAGCGGTGCAGTGTCGTGGGAGAGGGAGAAGGCAGAAGGAAACTGGTTCACATGGGACACAAGTCCATTCACCTCTTGAATGAGTGCCTCCAAATGGTGAACTACGGGATTGTGGTGCTGACCGAGTTAGGACCAATTTGGTGTAGTCGCCTCTGGTTTGTCACAATACTTTCGGGGATGGAACTGGTCAATCGGAACGGAGGTGTTCAAATGACCTGAGCATCGTGCATTGATGAGGTGTGACCTCGACAACAAATAATGTAATTTTGCCAATGCAAACATCGAGGTACCTTGATTGCTAACTTCGGGATGTTAGGTGTTTTTATTTTAAAATCACAAAAATCATCCATGAGTTACCGATGACTGGACAGAAAGTACGGAAAAGTGTGAAAGCAATGTGGAATACATTGAAGCAGGATATGGATTCTTAACGGGTTGCCTGGTTAATCTGGGGGGAGGAACCACCACACCGGATCTCAACAATACGTTCTATTCAATTCGCCCACCCTCCAACTGTGGACAATGTGCTTGTTGTCTTGTTTGCTGCTCAAACTGTTGGCACTACAGTTAGTGAACGTGTGTCGTACATATGTAATGATGATTTCAAAATTTGTAAATAAGCACTAGAATACATACTAAGCTAAAATAACAACAAAATTTTGAAAGGTACCTTTCTTTGGTTTGCCGGGAGGAGTTTGAGGTTGTATATTACCTCAATATTTCATAAAAGAAACGTTTTACATGACGCACTTCCGATGATTCTCACCTTTCATCGCACCTCCTCTCTGACCCCTTCGCCCAAACCTTTTAGCGGGCTTAGTTTTAACTTCAATTAGTTGTGAAATCTGTCACTTTCTTCCGCAAATAAGACTTGTATTCTGACATGGTGTGCTGGTGATTTGTCCATCTGTCTGTATTAAGTTAACGTTCTACTCTCTTACCCCTCGAGTAGAGTGGCAAACCCGTTTCCATGTATTCTGACTTGATCAGCCATTAAGTGCACAGCATTTCACCAGAGTAGGAATCCACATTTAGATCTCCATAAAGACGTCATTAACTACGTCCACAAAATATCCAGCCTTCCGTTGATTGAGGTTAGTTTGACGGTGCCCTACCCTGAAATGTTACACCTTCTATGGACAAACAATTCGAGCTGCAGGAGGCATCTTTTCTTGTTGGTTAACAAAACTTACCATCAGACTGATGCCCCACCCAGTATTTGCCCTTTCTAATGCTGCCTGTGGTCAGGTGGACAGTAAATCTGGTGAGGTGTTTGGCCTAATTAACTGTGATGACTTCATGTGAATGGTGGGTACGTCCATGGTAGAGATGTCATTGTTTACAAGCCCTGCCCACGCACCATAAAGCGTGGGTAGATCTGCGTCGTTATGTCATCGGTGAGGCACGCTTTGTGGTGTCCTCTAACACCCACCCCTAGTTGTGAACCCTTTAACCGGAAGTCCTGGTTTAAACCTCGTCGCCTTGAGCCTAATTAACCACCTAACTAATTGAGTTCCAAGGCTGGAGATAGGATCCCTTCCTCGAAAGTGTCCCCATTTGGGCACTTGAAGAAGGTGTTGTGGAATGTGATTCTGGAGGTAAAGGAGGCAGTTCTCAAAGACGAGTGTATCTCGTTTGGGGTGACTGTTTGCCCTTCGTAGTGAGGAGGCGGGAGTCACAACGGGACTGATTAGGAGAATGAATGGAGAAGAACGTGTCAAGAAGAAGCATTGGTGAGGTTCAACGTGAGTGCTGAAACGATTAGTCTATAGATCCACCAACAGAGAAGTCGTCGTGGAAGCCAGACAGATGGGGATACTTACGTGCGTTAACAGGAGATGCCGTTGACCTCGAAGGATTCTGAAATTGTTCTACACTTTAGTCATCTATGACGGTTTCAGAATGATTTTTGTCAAATGAAATGCGATGGGAAGTGGCCTTTTCATCGCAACTTTCGTTCAACATACAAAAGTACTGCCACTTTATTGGCGACCATCAATTCACCACCCAGTCTGAAGTAGCAATGGAATTGCTCACTAGGGTTTGGCCACCTGCTGAAGCCTAAACAACCACGGCCGACATCTATCTTCCTCACTATCTGCACTACTCGATGCAACTAGGTGTGCAAGAAATCTGCTTCCTGGGGAACAGTCACGACTTGTCAATGAGTCGAAAGAAAGTTATATTTTTTTAACAATTCTCAAAGCTCACTCATGACGCACTTCCAGATGGCAAGGAAAAGATGCTACCTTATCCTCGTTCATCTCTTCCTAATCGCCCTTGATGCTTGACATCCCCGAGCTGAAGTCGATAAATACATTTTCTGAGCATTAACACTGAACAATCGCACGATAAGATGGATGGGATACACACTGAAGTAGCCAAAGCAGGGCTTTTTCCGGATTCCTAAAGGCAAAACGTGTTCTACCAGTGGACAGCTGCAAACTCATTCCTTTTTGGAAAGAGCTGTTAACCGTGCTACTGATTAGTTGACTAGTAGTAGTTACCAACTTATCGTGTTTGGTCGAGTTCCAGCATCCATAACCATTTGAAGCCTGAGAACACTGAAGCGATTAAATGCAAACTTCAAAACCATCCCACTTTATTGACTCTTCACCTTGCAATATCACTTCTGAAGGGCGCAAATGAGATGGGTTGCTTCCGTATGGGTGATATTCCAAATGCCACCCCAAGACGGTATTCCAAACTTTCGATCGCCAAATTCGATATCCCTTCTAGGCGGAAAGTGCGTGGAACTGGCTCAGGACAGTGATGGCTATCAATGTGTCTGCCTGTCTGGTTACCGTGGCCGTCACTGTGAGCTCAACGACTCAGTATGTCAGCATCTGCCCTGTGCTAATGGAGGTCAGTGTGTTGACCGCGCACACCACGTGGAATGTCGTTGTCCTCTGGGATGGACGGGTCCCACATGCCGTCAGAATGTAAACGAGTGTACTACACCCATCTGTAAGAATGGTGCAGCCTGCCGTGACCGTCCTGGCACCTACGAGTGTCTCTGTACTCCCGGCTGGACCGGTCGTAATTGCAATGTTCCTGTCCACAACGCTACTCTTGTCACCTTTTCCTCCTCCTCCTCCTCCCCTCCGCCTCCTTCCTCACCGACCTGTACCTCTGCATGCGGTGAAGAGGATAATGAAATCATCTGGCCAAACACTTTCGTTATCATTCGTTGTGCTGTCGTTGCTTCCATCATCGTTCTCGTTTCCCTCCTCATCTTCACTTCTCTCCTCTTTCTGCGGCGTCGAAAAATCTGGTGGCACAAAAAATCCTTATTTGAGGAGCTACAGAGACCTGTTCCACCAACTCAACCTGGTTCTGTCTACTGGAATTCCAGTGCAATGCCAGAACCGCTGTTGATTTGTACCTCAGGAGATACCCTGACAAGGCATAAAACACTCTTCAGTGAGGCACCGAAGACAATAGCGCCCGGGAAGGAAAGGCTCTGTGCCGGAAAGCCCCTTATCTACGACCTGGCAGCGCCGTCGCCAATGATCACCTCACAGCACATTGTTCCTCTGTGCGGACCCTCGGTGCACCACCACGCTATTGTGTATGCGTGTCAGACACCGCCGCCGCCGCCTTACGAGGATTTGGTCCAGGGCAAGGTGGAGACTGGGAAAAAGGACTCCAGTCAGTCATAGCTTGCCCCACATGCACGCGTACACATCTGTAGTGCATTCAAACCTGTACAAATGGCTCGTGGGACCCTGGTCTCCATTCTTTGTCTTCGCCTCCTCCATCCCCCCTCCCTCTTGGCCGACAACCTTACTGCGTGGAACCCAAGGAGTGCTTGTGTGTGTGCATGTGAATCCTACTTTTTTAACCACAACAGCAACAACAGCTAACATCTCCTCTTTGTACACAAACGAGGTGTGTCTGTGTGACTATCTCACAACATCGCAATCCGCCTGTTTATATACCTTTAAGCATACTTATTTCGCTCTGTGAAAAAGACGGTCTCCTATCTAACAATTGGACGAATGGATGAATAGATATGGGATTAACGGATTTGATAGATGGATTTATGGATATGAGATGGACAAATGGATTAGGTAGATGAATGGATAAACACGAATGGATGGATGAGTGGATACGGGATGGACAAATAGATGGATGGCCGGATAGGAGACGGATGAGTAAATACGAATGGACGAAGAAAAAGCCAGCAAAGCATAAGAACTAGTGCTGTAGACGTGCCAAGACATCCAAATCCGGGAATAGTTTTATCACTAACGAACCAAGGGAAAAAGCTTCCAGTAGTGTGAAGCGTGATTCGTGGAGTAATGCAGTGATTCATATTAGTGATGATAGCGACATCTCCATAGATAGTTCAATAGTGATCAAGATAAAAATTGTCCACCGAAACGGGGCTTCTTGTGCGAGCCATAAATCACCATACTGCGCTCATTGGCTCGATGTAACCCTGCCGACCGTTTAACTTGTTCTTTGGTTTTTTGCACCATCTGTCCAATCACAGAGTCGTTTTGTGACGGGAACCATTCAAAAATACTGACTCAAGCAGTTCAACAGCACATGTCATTTCACTTTAGGAAATTTCATACGCTTGAAATCCTAATGATATTGTCCATAAGCACCTGATTCATCCCTGAAGACGCTATCCGACCCACAGGTCTAGAATCGACAAGCAGTCCAGACATGGGGAGAACTACAGACAACTAATCAACAGACAGCTGCAACAGACTACCACAAGCTGGATTTTCTCATCTCACAACGATGACCAACACACTACGCAAGCCTGCCAGAAACAACCGCTTCAAGCTGGCTCATACGAACACATGTGGGTGGAGCAACGGTATCGTCGCGCCTCGTCTGGATTGTGAAGGGCCAAACACATCCCGACAGTTGGCACTAACCGCTGTGGAAACTCCTCCCTGTTGGCTCATTCTCCAAACTGTTCCCGCATTATCCGCAGACCCGACTAGCCTGAAAATAGGCCATCCAAGACAGCTAGCATCAATGTCTCTTCGTGAAATGAAACTACAATTACATTCGTATTCTATTTCACAGCAACAATGAAGCCTACCTGATATCTCCTTACAAAAATGCTTAAATCCATATAAAGAAGCCCATATTATTACAGAACAGGCGGCTTATTTGTCTACCAACAATGGAGGTATTTTAGTCCACCGTCTTCAGAAATTCCTCGATCTAAAACAAGAAAAAATACATTATTTTAAATAATCATGAGTGATAAGAATCAAAGCAGACGAAGTACGATTCATTAGCTGTCATCCAGCAAGTTTGGAGACTATTGGCTCATATACCGAGTACCACGGCCAAATGCTGGTCGGCCACTGATTTGGACTCACTAGTTTTACTACTAACACGGGTTATCGCCCCTTGTCTTCGTCCACCCGCGTCCAGCGTCCGTCACTACCGCTCGGTCAAGATCGATTGGAATGTGAGTTGACACTGGTCCTAACACTACAACACCAGATTGAAGCAAAACTCCAGTTTAGCAGTTATTACTGCGATCTTATCCAGTCGTGTACTTTTTACTAACAAGGGACTATTGTTAAAGGAAAACCCTGAACCATTGAGCAAACACAAGGGGAAGAAGAGGTGCAGCACTGACCAATGCCCTCTGGAGAATAGATAGAGGTCTCTACCTTTTGATTGGTCCTCAGAAGGTGATGCTGGTAAATTGAACGAAGCCAGCGACGCGCAGTGGGAGAAGTAAAGATGATGCCGAGGCGATGAGCGACGAAGGCAACGACAATGTCCGCAGATCCGAGATGATCATCCGCGAGGAAGGTGTGCCCGCTGTCTACGAGATGCTCACAGAAAGAACACCAGTCATCTAGCCTCTTGTCTCTATTCTTCCCCTTTCCTTGGGACAGAAGTGATAGACTCCAGCTGATTAGTTGCTTAGTCTTGGCGACCGTGGCTGGCTTTATGAGAGGGACAAATAAGTAGCGAATGGTCAACGGTGTCAATCACCTGGGTTGAAAACAAGGAACTCGAATAGAATCGAGCAACAGAGTCAGATTATTCCCTCCCAAATCAGCGCTTCAGCCAGCACCAACCGAACTGCAGACGGGATTTAAAAAACTCCCTCTCAAGGTGCTTCCTCGAATTCCGGCCACCAAAGCGACTATGACAAGCTGTAAAATTTTGTTCCAATTATTTTCTGGGTCTTACTTGAAGTTTGACAATCTCCTAGTGACTTAGCATGTAGGCGACATCAACCAATTAACGAACGCGCACCTCAGCGTGGCGAAGTACGTTCCCGGAAGCCGCCTCTAACTGTGCCTGTAGATCGAAGAGATCAGTAGGAATGGTGGCACCATCGGTGCCAAAGCAGAGCCAGATCAGGCGGAGCAGAGGATGTTCTTCCACCAATGTTGTAGCCGATGGTATCCCTGTCAATGCCGGCGTCACCGCCACATCCAGTGAACGAAGGCTTTCAATCACCTCGGCTAATGCGTTTAACTCAACCTGGAGTGTCTGAAGCTATGGAGAAAAGAAAGAAAGAGAGGAATTAAGTCGGCTTTGAGAGGAGACCCAGCCCTTCAGCCAATCCTATATTTTTTAACTGTTGAAGTTCTCCTCTTCACAAGCCGAAAGATTTCAACTTACCTTCTGTGCATCCAAAGTCTGTTTAGCTAGTGGCACCTTTTGTGCGTATTGGGGGCGTGCCCGTGCCTCCTCCAGGGTCGTGATGGATTTGCAGATTTGAGCCAATCGCTGCTCTGCTCTCACCTTCTCAGCCCTCGCATCGATACGTCCAACGAGTCGGAGGTAAAGCTGGCAAGTGGCCACCGAATTGCCCTCCGAAATCATCGCCCCTACTGCTGCAGAAGCCGATTTCTCCAACTCTTTCTCTACTCCCTCCTCCGCTTCGGGCTCCACCTCCGCTGACTCATCACCGACTGGTGACTGAACGACGTGCGCGTCTATTTCTGACACTGTCATCATTATGCAGCCAGAGGTGTTAACTACAAAGAGAAATATCGACGGGAGTCGGAGGAAGTTCATTCGACTCCGTCTTTCATCGGTGGCCGTGCATCCGCCGTTAAAATCCGATCCTGATGTCTTAATAGCCACAGTGAATGTAAAACAATCGTCAATGGTCGATGCAATTTTAAAAACTCTTCTACTAGTGAGATTCCACAGATAGAGCCACTCAGAGTAGAAAATTAACAAGCACAGTTTTTCACCATCAAGATCAGCATTGTTGTTCTCATGGAATAGGTTTGCCAACTCTGCCACTAAGGCAACACCTAAGTTATCCCATAGCGACATCATGAGGGACATTAGCATAAGTGCACATAAGGACTGAGACTTAATGCTTAGAGGATAAGAGCAGAACCGCATTCACAATCGCTTCGCTGCTCCCTCACGAGGTCACAAATCAAAACTACCAATTAGAATGCTGAATGTCCTCACTATGGAAGACTATCTAGCCATCAAAGGATGATGCGAAATAAAAGTTCTCCTTAAAATCGAAAAGTAGTTTTAAGGCGAGCACCAAAGCATCTGCGGCTCCACTGGCGAGTAAAAGTCCCACGATGTGAAAACCAGTGATACTTTAAGTTAGGCAAGGCAAACTATCTCCAACTATCAATTCAACAGCGACCAGAGCCCCATCGAGGTGGATAAGCACAGCGAACAGCAGAGAGAAGGCAGAGCATGGAAGGCTACGCACTCTGGGATTTATCCGTAGCCGTAGCAACCACCCGGCACTTTCCGAGAGGCCCCACAAGGTCATCCAGGAAAGTGCCAGCGCAAAGAGCGGAAAGAGTAGCCTCCGGAGCGACCAATGCAGCTTCGGGGATGTCATTACTGCGGACACGGAGATTGTAGGTGGAGTAGAGGGAGCGTAGTCGATGCACCAGGCTAAAGGCTAGCTGAAAACCGACCGCTTCAGAGGTCTCAATCGTCTTCCACCTAGACACCTTGAAAGGAAATTGAGTTTGGAAAATAATACAAGTTCACATGTCCACGAAAAGCAGTTAAACGCATTGATGATATGTGGAACAGGAGAGAGAATTGACCTCTTCCAAATTGGGGTAAGGGGTGACGCAGATGGAAGGCGGGTCGATTGTGGGATTTCGACGAGGCAGACGCTGGAAGAGCTCCTCTGTGACATAGGGCATGAAGGGATGCAGGAGACGCAGACCCACATCCAGGCAAGTATAGACTATGTGACGAACCGTCCCGGCACGTTTCGAATCCATCCCCTGCGTGGACTTCACCAGTGGTTTGGAGTACTCCTGCATGGAAAGACAATTCTGTTATGTTTTGGTACATTTTCGTCAACAGAATGGCCTACTGATGATAATGATGGGTAGGGTAAGAAAATAACCGCGAACGTGCGAGCCTTTTTAGTCCCACGTGATTTGAGATCCTACCACCCTTAAGAAAGCGAGACTTGAACAATAAATAGAATCCTACCAGATAGACATCACAGAACTCGTAGAGCCAGAAGTTGTAGCAAGCAGTGGTAGCACGAGGGAAGACGTAGTTTGAAAACCCCGAATTGCTCTCCTCCACAGCAAAAGCGAGGCGTCCGAGGATCCATCGATCAGTGCCCGAGAGCGACGCAGCGGTGGGAACCAGAGCTGACGCTGAAGTTGGCGGTGTGTAGTCCTCGCCAAGGCAGTGGTACATCGCGTATCTGGGGAGAACAAGCATCCACAACATCGAGACATGAAAGATGACCCATCTTCTCCAAACTTGCAAAATGACTTGACACTAACCTAACCGCATTCCACAGCTTGTTACAGAAGAACCGGTATCCTTGTACCCTCATAATATTCAGATTGATGCTCCTCCCGCGAGTGGGATATGAAACCAAAGCAAACCGCAGCGCATCTGTTCCGCACTCCGGAATGCCTTGGGGAAAGTCCTTTGCCTGTGCTGCTGTCGCCCTCTTCAGCTCCAAGGGATCCAAATTACCCCTTAACAGTTTTGCCTGCAGATCTATCAACCGGAAGAGTGAGGAAGAATAAGTACCTACCAGGTAAGGAGATGCCATTAATCACATCTACTGGGTCAATAGCATTGCCCAGTGACTTGGACATCTTCTTGCCATGGGCATCGCGCACCATTGCGTGGAGGTAGACCTGGGTGAATGGCAGACGGTCGGTGAGGAAGAGACCAGCCATGACCATACGTGCTACCCAGAAGAAGAGGATGTCATGTCCGGTTTCGAGAAGGCTACCAGGGTAGTAGAGTGACAGGTCGGGCGCTGTGGTGTCCGGCCATCCAAAGACGGAGAAGGGGAATAGAGCGGAGGAGAACCAGGTGTCTAGGACATCCTCGTCCCGCTCCAGACGGATGGTGGTCGCAGCATCGGCAGCAGATACGTGAAAACGGGCCTTAGCATGGGCCATGGCCTCTGCTTCGTTGCGACCGACTACCCAGGAGTTGTTGTTCGAAGCCTGATTTCGGATAACAAAACAAGATTCGGTACTACATTTGACGCTCCAAATCTTGCTCCATACTGGGAAGATTCAATCCAGCACAAGTATTTAGGCCTTCTTTGGTGTAACAGCCGCTTAGAGTTTCGAGCTTAGAAGAAGGAGGAGATGAGAAGAAAAAAACTCACATCGAGCGATTGAAACTCCCCCGTATCCCTAGACCTCAGAGAGACCCTGTACGCCGGTACGCGGTGACCCCACCAGAGCTGCCGCGAGATGCACCAATCACGACAATCCCGAAGCCAGGCGTACCAGGTGTTAACGTATGCTGTTGGCGTGATGCCTAGTCGACCGCAACGCACCTCCTCTACAGCTCGCGCAGCCAACTCGGTGCAGCGCACGTACCACTGGGGCTTGAGCAGCGGCTCGATAATATCCTTAGTGCGAGAGCATAGAGGCACTACCATGGGGTTCTCTGACTCTCCGCGATAGAGCCCACGCTCCAATAGAGCGCGGTGGACAGCATGACGAGCCTCAAACCGCTTCATTCCTGACGATAGAAGAGAGAAGCAAATAGAATAAGCGGGTGATTCTTTGCAATCAAAAGTTGCACCACCTTAGCGTCTAATATTTGACGGTTCACAATATCTAGGAGTATTATATCTCATCCTTGTAGATAGAAAAAAAGGAAGCAAGATGACAAACCAGAAAACGTACCAGCAAAGGGTCCAGCAACCTCGGTCATAATCCCATTGTCATCAATACACGTCAGGAAGGGAAGGTTGTGACGCCGTCCAACCTCATAGTCGGTGGGATCGTGCGCCGGCGTCAGTTTGACAGCACCCGTACCGAAGTCACGGTCCACAAAGGCGTCTGCGATTATGGGCAATCGTCGTTCTGGCACTGCAAACGGATGCACAGCGTAGCGACCAATCAGATGTGAGTATCGCGGGTCCTCGGGATGCACGGCAATACCGGTGTCGCCCAGCATTGTCTCCAGACGAGTGGTTGCAACTACTATCTCTTCATTCGAAGCACTGTCTAGGAAGAAAAAAGAGGAAAAATTGGCACGACCGAGGTGGATTAAGTGATTATCTAAATAATCAAAGTGCAACTGTCTTCAGTTCACTGAAGTGGAGTTTCAACACAGCTAAACGCGCCTGCGAAGGAGCTGCCGGAGATTCCATTGACAGTAACAAGGAAGGGAGGGCATGCACTTAAAAGCTAGGAGTTTGCACCACGACTAACCTTCATCAACACACTCAGGGAAGGTACCTTCCTGAAAACGTAGAAGGTATGAGCCCTAATATCTAGGAATTGGATGGCTGAATAAGTACTTGGCCAGTGCGCAGTGCCTGAAATGAACTCGATCACCGTCGATCTCTGCACCTCGACCACCACGCCGGTAGCATCGGACCTTAGTAAGGTCACATATGCTAAGGGTGTTCAACCCCTCTGCACGTTACAAATCTACTTCTAAATTGATAAGACAGTTTCGTCATATGAGTACCACGCCATGTTTATAGTTTCTTAACTTCATTTGAACAAGGGAAGGTCTTCAGAAAGAGCACTGGGACTAACTGGCAATAGGATAAGCGAAGGAAGTGAGAACACCGAAGACCACGGGTTTGGTATAGCCAGGAACAGACAAAGCGGTGCGTCCAGTGAGCTCCACCTTGTCCACCTCGATATCAGAGATGGCGGATTGAAGGGTGCAACACCAGTTGACCAGCCGCTCCTTGCGGTAGATCAGGCCGCCCTCGTGCATACGCACAAAGGCCTCCGTGACGGCGCAAGAGAGCTGTGGGTCCATGGTGAAAGCGGCTCGAGACCAGTCACATGAGCTGCCTAGCGCACGAATCTGGTGGTAGATATTTTCACCCTTCCTATCAGACAGTTAACAAACTGACGTTAACTTTGCGATAAATGAATCGGAGACAGAGACTCTTCAAGCAAACGATGGGAGAGGATTGAACAGTAGAGGTCAAAACCTATTTTAAACGTGTCTGGTGTTATACGGACATTTGCTGTAAAAAGCCTTAAACGCATGATCTTCGTAACTAGTCCTTTAATCCTCTGGACTCACTCCTCCTTCCATTTCCACACCTCCTTGACGAAGGCCTCACGTCCGATGTCGTGTCGAGTGACCTGTCGATCGCGCCAGAGCTTTTTCTCCACCACAACCTGAAATACGCCCATAAAAGGCGAACTCAACCCTCCTCTGCCATTACCTGATTCTACTGATACAATAAGAGATCAAAGCTAAATCAAATATTCAAATAGGTTTTCTTTCACATTTCGTATTGTAAATAAGAAAATGCGCGAACGCATACGGTTGTAATTGAAAATAATTGACTTTTTTTCGGACACTTCCAACGATGACAAAATGTTCAGCTTGCACCACCACCTAGTGTACCACCTCTTCTGCCTACGTATAATGAACCCGATTCCCCACTCACGCACAGTCTAGTGAATTACCTGCGTAGCAATGCCGGCGTGATCGCAGCCGGGCACCCAGACAGTAATCGTTCCACGCATTCGGTGCCACCGCACTATGGCGTCCTCAATGGCGTTGGTCAACGCATGGCCCAGGTGCAGATTGCCCGTAACGTTGGGCGGTGGAATGACCATCACAAATTTTTTCCTCGGCCCTTCTTTGGATCCTCTGGAAGCCTTAAAAGTAAACGAAATACAGAAATGTAGAGTCCCTATACCCTTCAAAAACGGGAGAGAGAGGTAACGGAGGTAGGAGTTACTGAGCGTGATAGCATACTCGCAGCATGCTAGTAGATAAGAGTTTTAAAGACGGTAGCCACACACTACAATTGAAATTACATGGAAATCAGACTGCGACGCTTAAAAGTCCTTAACCCCTTTGAAAACAAATGAAGAGTGAGATAGCAAGGATGCTAAGCATTTGCAGATCACTAAGACGCATACAAATGCCCCTCTGAAAGTAATTTATAAATCAAGTTTTAAATATCATTTGAAATAGTCTCTTTAAAGCGCCATTCAAGACCACTCTTTAGTAGCTTGAATTAATAGTGCATAAAGAGCTTACCATCAGGGAACTCGGAACGTCCAAAAAAACAGGAGATGATGATTAGGATTTCAGAGACAATGAGACTAGCAAATACCCAAAAAACACAGGGGACGCCTGAGTAGGTCCATGAAACACTCAGACCCAAGCGACTCGCTACATACGGATCATCATGAAAGTTGCCCAATTCAAACATTCCATGTATACATAACACGCCATCCATCAAGGTTCAGGTGACGTGCCTAAAACATTTATTCATTTCTCGAATATAGGCTCACGATGGGCTTATTGAAATAAAGTGCGCGCGCTGGATGCCTCAAAAGTTAAGGGCGCAGGGCGAGATAGCAGGACTAGCAGCCAAACCTATCAGGCTTCTGGCACGAGACTGATATAATATGACAAAATTAGCGCGCTTATCCATGCAGGCTCTACAAAATTCACTGATTTCGGATACCATCATAATGTTTATTTCCAGAATTTGTGTTAATAGCGTACCAACTGTTCTATACGTTTATGATAGAGGTCTACCTATTTTTATACATGCTTCATGAAGAATTCTAGCGCTACAAAGTCAATGAAACATAATGAGCAGCGGTTGGAGTGTGCAAACGCTACTAAAAATAAAGGTAGTTGAACTGAGCAGATGGAAATTAAGTACCCCTTTCCCCGTAAATAGAGGGGGTAGGAAGTAACCACCAATTGTAGTAGTTATTACTACTACCCACTTAAAAATGATACTAAGAATACAGCAATAGCGGCAACACGTATGCAACGCTCATAGAAAAATCTGGAATGTATGAAATCCAACGAGGCTACCCGAAGCAGCCCCACTACAGTGAAACCCAGAAAGTTTGCAACAACGTTGAAACGAAGGCTGATGCTTTTAACCTTAAGAAATAGCAAATCCGTAGCAAACGAACCCAGTATTCGGGAGTAAAAAAACCCGATTTCTCCCACCAATCGTACCACAAAGCTTCGACATATTTTGGAGAGTAGGATTCAGGCATTTTGCCAGAAACATCTAAAAAATGACAAAAAATATCACACAGTACCAATAATATGTGGTCAGGTGCAGTCACATGATAAGTGTAAAAAAAACCGTGTGAATTTAATGTCACAGGGACACCATAGTTCCAAAGAATGCCATACAAAAACTAGACTTAGGCTAAATGTACGGCGTCATATTGAAATAAGACTACTGTCCAAAAGCTAGACATAGGTACGTAGAACTCTGTTTTTGCCGTATAGAAAATGTTGAAATCCAAGGAGAATGCCACTGGTGTAGTTTTCACCAAAATATCTTACTAGGAGAAATAATGGCACATTTTACTACTGCAAGACTGAGAATAATATCAAATAAACGCAAACAAGAAAGTAGCACCGTTGACAGTAATCACCTTTCTTCCCACTTATATCAACACTTGGTGCGTCGATAACTAAAGATTTTGCAGCAGCCCTTTCTTGTTTGGCTTTGGGTTTCATATTTCTCATACCAGCTAGTTTCTCCTGTTTGGCCTGAAATCTTGCTAGTTTTTCCAGTCTCGTCGATTCTTTCTTTAGCTGGGACGGGGTCTTAATCTTTTCCTTCATTTTTATGGACGACACTGCAAGTCCACGCGTTTAAGCCGCAAGATTCAGAGTACCCGCCTGACAAAAGATCAACCTTGGACTGGACAAATTATTATCCGCATTTTGTAAACTTATGCATTAGTTCAATACACATTGTAAGCGTTAAAACAACTTCTGTCTGCAAGATTTTAGTACTATTAATCCAGAAGTGACAGGGTCAAAACACTGATGACAATTTAAGGGAAATATCTTTCTAAAGATTATGAGCTCCTATGTATATTGCTTTAACTTGCTTAAATACGGACAGTTCTGTGAATCAGTGGGTATCTGTCACGACCCCCCTACACCCACACTTCTATGCCTCTAGCTCCTAGCGACTTCCCCAAGGTGAACACCCCCCGCGTCGCAATAGATAGCCCACCCGCCCCGTCCGTCAGCAACGCACAACCTCGACACCCAAACCCACCTCAACTGAGCCCCAACACGGCCTCAGCGACGCATGGAAGCAGTAGGGAAACAAGAGACCAGCCCCACAACTGCTCACCGGCGGTATTTGGAAAACCCCCATACATCAGGAAATAGCCTGAAAGGTGCAACTCGAGGCAGAAATGGAGTAAAATGCGGCGCAGAGTTGGAGAAGGGGAAAGGGAATGTGGAAGAAGGGGAAACAGACAATCATATCTCGTCTAGGTCATCCAGACCAAGCTCTGGAAAGTCGCCCACCTCTACGAAATGCGGCTTCACAAAGGCGCCGTACTTAGGTTGACATTCAAAGTACCGGTAGCCGTCGACGCTACAAAGGATGTAAAAGGAACGGATTAGCTGATGTCGAGCTCAATTTTTACTATTGATAAGGACCTTCGATTTGCCCCTTTTCCTAGCACTAGCAGTTAGAGATAAAAGATAGGTTGTTGTTCACAAAAAGGAAAGGATATACTTTCAGCAACCTGAAACAGCCAGAAATCCTATTTTTCCCCAAGAAGCGTATGAGATCTCCCACGGAGATCGTATACGTACATCGCTATGTTCTCCTTGAGACGGTAGAGTCAATACAACGGCATACACCTTGGCATTGGAGACGGGTATCAAGCCCTTAGTGGGAAGAGTTACTCACAGATCAGTACTACTTCAACGTGACGATTTATATGCTCACCTGAACTTAAATTACTGTTTGAGGTGTAGCTACAATAGTTTTCAGCAGTAATACTAAAAACACCTAGGAAAGATTACCTGGAGGACGTATATAGTAGTGAGAAATAAGCTATCGAGGCCGAGGGAAGTCGCATTTATGGGACAATACGGTTGTCAACTCGTATTCTTCCACCACTTTTATCTTTCTGCCAAATCCTGTAGTGTCCATTTAGGAATTGACTTGGTCCGTCAGAATGGGTTGACATTCATGAGATACTAACAACCTTTCAGCATTTCTCACTATCTCAACGAATTCCAAACATTGAATGCAATGTCGGGGAGACTGAAAGTAACACAGTAGCGCCTAGAAAATTATGCACGACGACCTCCTTGCTTCCAATCCAAAATCTAACATTCGCTTTATGAGTGTGAGGAAAATCAAAGCCTTAATCTACAACTTGTCCCAGCGAAATTGCAATATGCCTCACGAAGTACAAAATTTAAATGGAGTTAGAACAAGGAGAAAGTTGACTACCATCTACTTTGGTTGGAACAATACGATAAATCTCTCCGCACGAAAGAAGAGTAAGAACATGGAGAAGACACCAATTGGGGGGGCAAACCGACTTGAAAGTAAAACTCTAGCAGGTTCAAATGCCAGCCCGCCTTTTGAAGTGTACTGACGAATACACATCCAAAACAGCCGTGAAAAGAGCCTCAAACACCAGTAATCAGGATCTTTAGTGCAAATTTAGCTAATACAGATGGCAGTCAATGATTTGGAAAATTAAGTTCTGCCCAGCGATCAGCCCTGAAAATGAGTCAGCCATGCAAAAGACCTGGGCCAGGCCCAAAGTAGGCGGCGATTACCTGCAGCCACCATCAACAGATCTAGATATATCCATCTCAAAATAGGGGTAAACTAAGAGCATTAAAGTGCAGTGCTGACGTTCCGACAATTCCCAAGCCAACGAACTTCTGTAATTCAGACGGAAAAAGCTTGGCTTCGATGGTACGTTTGGTTATGCCAAACAATCAAGCATCGCATTTACAAGTGAAAATACACTTTGAGGAAAAAGTGCGCTCAAAAGAAAGGTCAGTTTTGGATATAATGCAACAGCTCACCTCCCATCATTCCGACCGAGAGGTTCATCGTACTTCACACCAACCCAAATACCCTCCTTGAATTTGGTCTCCCCTAAAGTTAGGGAAAGCTAGCGTTTACATCAACTTAAATTTCCGCTTCTAGGTACCAAAATTTGCGATTACCTAGGAAGGCTATTTCTCCGCGTCTGGCTGGCTGCTTTGGAACACGAACCTCGCATCTACAAATGGACAAAAATCGCTCACATATCCTACACCACCGTACCCTCACCTATAAATGATATTTAGCCAACCGTCCTTTAGTGGTTTTCGCTTTAATGTGCGATGTTTCCTTTAACAGGATAGTACTACAGCAGCACAGGCACAATTTGATCGGTGATAGAAGATAGGGGGAAATGAACGAATGCCTCCGTCGAAATAAATTGCAAAAATCGTGTGCTCAGAATCCAAAGAAACATTATGACATCCTCCCAGCTAAAAAAAGACTTTTAAGGAAAGTCCTGGTGAAAATGAAATTATTCAAGATAAGAGGATTGAAGAACCAGACAAGTCCTTCGTAAAACACAAAAGTAACAGTCCAGAAGTAAATTAACCTGTCACCGATCTTCATACTCTCTATGAGTTTCCTATCGGCAGCTTCTTTTGCAAGTTTCGCTTCTTCAGCAGCCTTCCGTTCTTCAGGATCAATTTCTCGGAATTCTCCCAAATTGTACTGCTTCTTCCAAGCCAGAAAGGTATCTAAACGTGTACAAAGAGTGGTAAATATGCCCCTACTTTTTCGTCCCGCGTACTGCTCGTCGGAAAGTTTGAATCTATCTCCCATGTCCTGCCGCAGAATATTGTCATACAAACCAGCTTCGACGGTTGGGTCAGTGACATGCACATGAAAACCGTTTTTGAGACCAAGCTCTTCCAACGCCTTTGAGTCATCCGTCAATTCTTTGACAAACTTCTCATTCTCATCTCTAAGCTCTAGTTTCATGGTCTTGTTGTCGCAACCAGTAATCAGAACTATATTTTCCTAACCCCGTAGAGAGGACTGAAGACAAGCATACCTTAAATCTCGACAATAGCATACTTAGGGGGAAGTGTTTTTCACATGACATTGCCGTTGCACTGGATGAAATTAGGAGGGAAATATATGGTTTCGAAGCCATGCCAATTGAAGCAACAATCTCAAAACAGCCGCCGTCAACAGCACATAGTTGCAACCAATCAGTTATCCGCTATTACTACATAAAGTTAGAGGAAAATGGAACGAATATTTTGCTGGGTTGCATGTTTAAAAATGTAGGCCGATTGCAGCAGAAGATAGTGAAGTACAAGATTTATATATCTCGAAATATGTTGGAGTCAGTACAAGGAAAAAAATACGCGAACAGAGATTTGCGGAACCATCCCTTTATCAAATGACCTTCCTTTGGGTATAGTAGGAATTTTGCAATATCCACTATAGTGTTGTAATATAAATGTAGCGGCTCGAGACTTCCCTGAAGACGAAAGAGGACATATACTCGGGCAGAATACATATTCAGCACAGAGAGGATGTTTGAGCTATTGGGGTGGCCCGAAGGCCAGCCCACCCAAAGAGGTACAAGAAGGCTAATTCAAAATACAAAAGCTACGCCTCACCAAAACTGGGGCATAAACCACCGTAGTATTACATAAATGACCATTTTTTTCTCTTAAGTTACTTGCTGAGACATCAGCAACCTTCTTTGGTACTAACATCCTTTTCTATTTCTTGTGGCATGATTATTTGCTAAAATTCTAAGAATTGCTTGCTGCAGGGTAAACATTGGCTGTTCTTGGAACTTCTGGTTAGGTCATGGCACAAAATTTAAATTCTTGTGCTGCGCTGCGGCAGTGCATTGGTTACTGATGCAATGTGAATAGTGTGTGCATTGGTAAAACCACAAATTTAAACACGGTTTGTAAAAGCACGGCGTCTTTTGACTAAATAAGAAAATCCGAAATTATTTGTAAAGGTTTGGGGAGAGGTGGCTTACCCAGGCCGTCATGATTGCAGGGACATTTTATCATCTACCTATTACCAAAGTTCTAATTATGCCCCCAATTTATAATAGTACTTCAAATAACCAGACGATATAAGCCTTAACGACTGCCCGCTGTTTAATGGCTTATTGTCAACCACAAGAGCATATAATTCGAGGAACGACCATATTACGGTTGTCCTGCTTATTAAGTTTACTCCTTCAAGTCTTATCTAGTCACTTTGTGTGCCTCACCCCTAATAAATGCACAAATGAATGAAATTTTTTTTTTCTCAATTTTGGCCACAGGGATTCCAATCTATACTTGGTTTTGTCTGGGTTTTATAAATAAGGGAAAAACTGTACTTTGTATGTTTATCGTCAATACGAGACGGAATGCATTGATGCAAATTACAAAAGCATTAAATCTTTTCAGTTCTGTTTTAAATGGCGAGAGTTGTTAATTCGAAGTAAACCCACGGTAATGGACATAAGCGAGAGTGTTTAGGACTATTGGAGTCATATAAAAGTATTCTTCCTATATGTAGTTAAAATTGTTAGATATTTTGTGCTTTGTGTTAGGCTAAAAGTTCACTTTCCCCCCCCCCCCCAATTTCTAAAAAAAATAAAAATAATCAAAAATATTTATTTTAAGACTAAGCACATAAAATTTCAGAGTGGAGAAATCCTTGATACGATTAAAAAGCCGAATTCAAAAGTCATTGAGTACCTCATCAGCTGTCGAAAATGGGACCTTCAAGTCCGATTTTTACCGTTACCGGTGAGGCATAATTTTAGTGAACTGGGGAACGTCCTGGGGATAAAAGTAGACATAACAATGGGGCTATTTGTTTTGGCCTAAGGGCTACGCCAACTAGCGGAGGTACAACGGTGGAGCCCCTAACTAATCAGCTACTCTTGGTCAACTCCCTGCTTCGGCCATCGCAACGTAGTCAAGTCTGAAGTAAAAGTATTCAGGAGCTATCCGCCCCAATCATATAACCTCCATGCAGCTGAGGGGGTGCATGGATCCCCTCAACCGGAGCATATACTCTTCTTCCGTCACGATGAGGTTTGGGATCCGGTAGTAAAAATAAGGTAGTTGCCCTTTAGGATAGAATTTGCCTTCCTCTACCACCAACGCAGTAATCTGAGTCTTTCTTGAAGATGAATAAAAATATAATACTCGAATTGAATATGAAATGCCGAAGTACAGAAGGACTGAGAGGCGACTGACATGGCCCAGAGGCCAAGCCGGCTGTCGATGGTACAATGGCGGATCCCCAAGTGGCTCATTTTCAAAACCGAGAGTTAAGCTTACAATTAACACATTTCACACATATATGACCATAAGAATTTCCTATCTCAGTATGTTTTAAAATGGTTAATTGCAGTTGGGTTGTTAAGAGAGGCTAATATTGTCTCTGATTCACGTAAAATCGTAACATTGACACATCCATCTCTTCCTTCCACATCGCCTCCCTTTGGTACGTTAAAACGTAACCTCTCGTAGCTTTAGCCGCTAGAGTTGAGAACTTGTCAATGGGGGACAGTTTCGATAGCCGTACTGTAGTGAGCATCTGCAGAATCAGCGACTTTTCTGTGTGGCACCCAGCCATTTAGACTAGGAGAGTAGTTTATTTTACCTGTTTTCACTTCTCGCTGCTACCAATATGAGAGCTCTGAGCCTCCCCTGAAGACGTGGTAAGATATTGCAATACTTTAGTTGGTAACGGGACCGCTGAGGGTCTCCGCCATTGTACCTTCTGCAGGTGGTTAGGTCTCTGGCCCATTCCAGTAGCCTCAAGCCCTATCGTATGCCGACGCTACGTTATCTGCCCGGGTATTATGTTTCTTCCGACTTCAGCCCACAGTCGGGCTGAAAACTACAGGCACGGGTGAACATTCAAACCACTATGAATATGGTAGAAGTCAGGAGAGCTAAAGATCCAGCATGTTTAAGCATTAATTTAAGGGTACGCTAGGTTACAACCACACTTCAAACTCTTCATACTTTGAGCTGCATTAATGCTATTCACCCCAGAAAATTCCACCAATATGGGGTGTCAATTTCTTTGGTCTACTTTAGAAGTGTACTTTATCTTTTCCGACAGGCCTATTCTAGGGCAAACAGAACAAATTAACCGACTGGATATTGACATATTTTATCAAGAAATGCAAAATCTCTCCAGTTATTTAGTTATTTACTTAAGTACTTAAATATGAGGGGAATAAGAGGACAGGTGTCATGGATTGGTAGGTAGGCCGGTCGGTCGTGGCCACGTAAGGAGAGCGTGGTCAGAGGGCGGGGGAGAAGGACGTTGACCGCAGGAGCCCATTCATTATGTAGATAGGCTATAATTTAACTCTGCCAAAACAAACAAGCAGGGCCACATAATCGCAGTTACCTGAGGGAGGTGTACTCAATTAACTCTCCATAATGATACTTACCACTCAGTTAAATGGCAAATGAGGTGGGTGGACACCGAAGGGAAATAGAAGGCCGCTTTGTTGTTGTGTTTATTTAAAGCCGGTAAATATTATCCTTATCTAAAGGCTGCTTTTGTGGTAAACGCTAAGCTGTTTTGGGCAAACAAATTAACCTCTTGAATTAATGAAGTGGAATATTAGGGTTTGAATGTCTTCTACAAGTTTATAGTTGTTGACTTGTTCAGCCATCTGCGCCATCTTCTATCCCTTGAATAGATACTTTTCAACTGACCTATCATCTTAAAATCCAACTTCCTCGTTAAATGCATTCATCTTAAGTGAATGGGTACTGTTGTAGTTTAATTTGCTCTATTTTGAGAAACAAATGATTGTTTTAATAACCAAGGGTCGTAACGCGTTGAATACATAAAATCTTGTTTTTAAATTGAGGCGCGTATAATTTGACAGCAGATTTATTATATAATCTACTGAAGGAGGAATAAGTTTTATGCGTGAATTTTACCTCGATATAAAAAAAGGGAGAAGATGATCTCTAACCTTAAAATTCGCAAACTTCTAAACAACAGGACACTTTTCGTCATCTCATACCACAAGTATGGTGTACATTAAGTATGCACACCTACACATATGGGTGTAAAACCGCATTAAACGCAGGAGACTATTGGGGATATTGGAAATACACAAGGTTTGGGAGAAAGGGCTTTATCCACTGAGACCTTTCATGCATTAAAACACTTTTCTTCCGGGTGGGGCGCTGTTTCAGCTGAAGGTTATTCCACATAAAGTAGTTGGTCAAATAAGCAGAACTACTGAAACCACCAGAACTTGGAAGACGTAGCAAATATTCGAAATTTAAGTCCAGGTTAAAATAGGACCTAAAAATCACCACATGACTGGAGAATTTGCTGCATATCTCCGCGTGTAAAGCCAACATTTTTCAGTGGGATGGGTACCACCATTTGTCACATGAAACATGCATTGCCCTCCTTCTATTCCGTAGAATATTCTCTTACCTGTTACACCCATGCATGCTCCTCTGATGTCTGGAGTACCTAGTGGTGTTTCGCATTTACCGAACGAAAGCAGTGGCTTCTGAGTCCTCTCTGAAGTTGAAAGAAGTCGTAAGGATCTGATGGAGAATATATTACTGATGTACAGAAGATCTAAGGCTATCGGCGTGACTCGGGGCTTGGTCGGCTAGCGGATGTACAATGGCAGAACCTTAAGTGCCTGAGTAACCAAAACGATGAGTGAAACAAAGTACAAAGCGTTACAGTTGTACTGATATTTGTATGTACAACTTCATCAAATTTGCGTCTCTTTCATGGAATTTTACGACTAACTTTAAGTAGTAGGCCTAGTTTTTCACCAGTATTTTGCTTCTAGCTTATATATAACTCTACATTTATCCTCACTTCTTGGGAAACCCCCCTTTCCCCTCACTTGTAATTCATAGGGCACTCGAAGCACTTGACACTTGACTGAAACCTCTTGAGCAGAATTCACTTGTTGACAGTTTGTTGCATCCTTAGGTTCTTTTAACTATCTATGAGAAGGCCACCCGAGACGCCCCTATGTGTCTAGGCAAAGGTAACGCCACTCTCCAAAATCTCCTCTCGTAAGCTAAACCGGAATAAAGTAACTACTCATCACTTAAGTAGCATATGGCAGCTAGATGCGTCAAAAGCTTCGTCTATACATTACCTTCTTCCGCTTTACTGACTAAAGCTATTAATCAAAAATCTTTAAATCAGAGGGCAGCCAAATAGGTTTACTCAATTTCGGAGCCACAAATGAAAGGCAGCGGAAACTTCCTGAGACATTTACCTAGTTAAGCTGACAACCATTGCTCGACAGAATAGCTCCAAAACGCCCGAAGAAAGTCACTATAGTAATACCTATCTCGTGTTAATGAGGTAGCAGGTGTAAGGTAGAAGGCAAAAGCTGTAAGCTCGCTTTTAACCACGGGATTGAGAGTTCAAAATAAGAGAATAGTAGTGAGATGAGCAGCAAATGTCCACCTGCACTAATCCAGGTCCCCACAATTTAAAAGGGGATATTGCGATGGGCTGCGGGGAAGATTTCAAACAATTTTTTGGACACTGTACTCTAGTAGGCTCTTAAAAGCGTTTCAGAGGGCAATTTCAGTTTACTATAGTAATTTTCTAATCACAATCACCACTACTCCCCAAAGTATTTATGACGAGGGCCGAATAAAGGCATTGAGTGGTAAAATTAATCGAGCGAGTTTCCATTGTTCCTTCGACTGGATTTTAGCTTGTCAGTTTGCTCGCTCCACTTTTCGGCCCGTTATTAATTTAAACTGCTTACTCAGGGAGGAAAATGATAACGTTCCTATTGTGCACTGTGGTCAAAAGCCATTCAATTAATTATCGGCTCAAACTCGCTCTAAGGCTGAACTTCTGAAAGAAAACATGAATTTCTCCTCCACAGAACGTTTCGTTGATGTAGCAAAAAGGTCCGCCCATCCCCCGTCGTTCCATCCGCCAGCCCCGACTCTCCCTATCCCCAGTAATGAGTGGTTCGCCGGTTCATCCCCCCATCCATTCTGCGGGACTCATGCCCATGTATTGGGAGTGAGGAGCCAATCAGCTGCTTGACCGGGTGTATAAAAGGTAGGAGCGTTTGCCAGAGACAGCAAATCTGGTAGCCAGTCACTCCCTCCTCTGCTTCGGCCAACGCTCACAAATCACTCTAAAAATGTTTGCTCGCCTTCTTATCGCTCTCGCCTCTGCCTTCCTCATTGCCGAGTCTGCTGGAGCCGCAGTGCTGCCTGAAAGACTTTCGGTGAGTTAGAGTGCTTGAGGCTCTGCTGTTCACTTAGTTAATGCATTATTTCCTATTACTCTTAGGGATTCAGTCAGTAAATTAAAGCCACGTTTCATTTTAAAATGTTCTCCAGTAATGTGAA